TCTCTCTCTCTCTCTCTCTCTCTCTCTCTCTCTCTCTCCCCCTCTCTCCCTCCCCTCTCTCTCCCGCCCTTTCTTTTAGTGCCTTTCCTGTCTCCGTTTCCGGGTCAATTTACCTCATGTCAACCATGCTACCCCGAACAACGCCGAAGAACCCCCGGCTGCACCCCTCCATACCCCTTTCTCCTCCCTTTCGTCAGCAGAGAACTCGCAGAACTCACATAGCGTCACGTCTGCTCAGCGTCAACTTTTGAACGCCATGAGGCGTTGGAGGAGCAGGGGGGGGGGACAGCATGATGTTTGAGCCGTCTCGCATGCACGGAGGCACGGGGGGGGGCAGGGGGGAACAGCAGCCGTCCTTGCTGCCGAAGCGGGGGATGAGTATGAGGATCCTCTTTCGGAACAACTTACATAAGTTGCTTTATGTGCGAGGGGTCTGGCCGGGCCGGGCCGGGGCAGACACACACACACACATTGCAACCGCTGTGCTCCGGAGTCTCCTACCGGAAGTTTCCTGCTCCGGGGGGCTGGCGCCGACGGCGCGGCGAGTACGAAAGCGGCTGCAAGCGGTGACGACGACGGAGACCAGCCCAGGCCGAGTCGAGGCCACACACATTTGACTGCTCCGAGTGCCCCGCCCCGTCGCTCCGCCCCACCCCACCGCACCCTCGGGCCCCGCGCGCCATGGTGTTCTAACTAGTTTGAGGTTGGGGCGCGGTGGGGCGGGGCGGGGTGCATGGGTATGGAGGTCTTGACTCGAGTCGGGCGGGGCGGGGCGGGAGTCTGCTGCGCCTAACGAGAGGCGCCCGTTGAGCCCAAACCTGTGAGCCGGTCTCGCACTTCGGCGCTCGGCGAGAAAACGGCAGTACAGAATCTCTGTTCCGACAATCTTACAATGTGAGGCGACATTATATTCGCAAAAGAAACACCGCGAAACGCATGGCGAAATACCACACTAAATTAGCCGCGAAATACTACACGAAATGCTGGCGTGTTCCCGAGTGATCCCCCCTCGCTTTCTGGTACCTTTAAAGACGGTCATCCCCATCCCCCCGGGCGCTTCAGGGACAGTGTGGTCGTGCACGACATGGGGACGGCCCTTTGGTCCTGAGGTCACCTCTAAGAAGAGGTCACAAGGCCACCCTGCCGTCCTTGGCCCGCTCCTTGTCTGCTGCTGCGGCTCGCCGTCTGGCCAGGATGGGGTGGGTGGTGAGGGTGGCGGTGAGGGGGGGGGGGACAAGACAACTAAAAGTTCACCGGCAGGATCAGTGCGTAAGCTTCGCAGTTCCCCTCTCCTTCTTTCTCTCTCCCGAGCTGACTGGCGGCAACACCCGCCCACGTCGCTCATGTTGTTGTTACACCCGCCAGCAGCTCTCTTCTGCCCTACTTGGAGTTGCCTTTGTGCGGGGGAGGAGGTAGCAGCCCCGAGGGTTTCGGCATCAGAGCGCCGTCGCCACCGCCACTGCCCACCCGCCGACCCGGCTGCTCCTGCTCGTCTGTGCGCCCTACTGGCTGCCTGCATGCCTGAACGTCCTGAACGCAAGGCTATGGCTCATACGGGCTCATAGGCCCAGAGAAAAAGTGGGGAGGGCTTTTCATGTGACTGCACTTCATGGGGATAATTGAAAGGAAGGACCAATAGCTGCCTGAACACAAACGTATGCACCAGAGAAGTCTGCACAAAGCAATGCTTTGTATACAACCATTCCGGGTAAAGCTAAAATGCAAAAGAATGCGAGGAAACAAGAAAGTAGAAGTCACCCAAGTAATAGCATAGTGATTTCCTTTTGTTGTTCTTCTTCTTTTGAGCTTTACCGTAATTCTTTATTACGAACTCACACTCGCACGTGCTCATGGACCAGATACGCCACGGGAACCTTGATCATTCCTGCTGATTTTTTTCCTTCGTTTCATCACCGTCGCAGGTCTCTCTTGCAGGGTATGCTGGCGTTCTCGCCGAGACGCGCTTAGGACAAGCGATGTATGAGGAGCCATCGCATTCTTCTGCTTCGAATGTCTCACCCTATGTTCTCCTACACAGTACGAGCTCAGGCTCACCGCCTCGGACAACCTGCGCGAGAACTACACGACGGTCGTGATCCACGTGAAAGACGTGAACGACAACCCGCCCGTGTTCGAGCGGCCCACCTATCAGAGTCAGATCACGGAGGAGGATGACCGCGCTCTGCCCAAGCAGATCCTCAAGGTCCTGCTACCGAGCGTGTTGCGTTATTGTTTGCTCTTTCGTTCGTACTTTTCGCTTATATTTTTTTGCTTTTGCGCTGCGCATGGTTCTCGTGTTTGTAATGTGCGTGATGAGCATGATGTTATCGTTTGATATTATTTTTCTTGTTTGTTTGTTTTATCACGTTTTTTTCCGGTTGTCTGTATCTGCATTTTTTTTTCTCGATTTGCTGATGCTTACATGTCCGCGAGGACTGGGTAGATCTGCATCCATAGTAGAGAACCGTGGATTATCAGTTTTATCGTTTTTTATTTATCAATGTTTTGTTTTGGTCCAGTTTTTTTTTTTCATCTCTCTTCCCTTTTAATTGTCCTGGCCGTGCTGACTACAACTGAAACCCGGACAGGACCGGGTGGTCAGAGCCCTGGCAGCCCTGCACACTACACGCTGGTACACGCGTTCCAGTATTCATTTTATTTTTTGTATCGTCTCCTACTGCCCGATATCCCGTCTCCTCTGTTGAAAAATCTTTGTCTTTCAGTAGGTTTGAAACTATTACTTCTGGGGAATCAATATGAGATTGAGCTCACCGCCGAATAAGTTTCAGCCGTGTAATCAACGCCCCGAAAAAAAAAAAACGTAAATTTATTTTGCATATTTGTTCCTCTTACTTTTACTCTTTTTTTT